CTGTTGTTGTCTCTCTTCTTGTTTCTTTTCTTTTTCCTTCTAACAACTGTTGTAATTTCTCTTCTCATTCTTCTTGATTAATTTCTCGTTCTTCTTGTTTCTTTTCTTTTTCCCCTAACAACTGTTGAAATTTCTCTTCTCGTTCTTCTTCTTTCTTTTGCTGTTCTTGTAATGCTGCCATCAAGTCTGCTATGCTGTAGTTTGATTTGCCACTTCTCGTTTCCATTTTTTTTATCCCACTCTCTGACACCAATTTGTTATGTCTCCGTTTGTTAATTAACTTTCCGTAACTTCGTTCCGACGAAACATTAGCGACACAAGTCCTTACTTAATAAAACTGGTTTATTCTTTCCGAATACAACTTAACGATACACTTATTTTCAACAATCGCTCTATAACAAACGCTATATCAACGAACGTCAACAATACTTCTGACTGCAGTTCAATTACTCACTATCTACACACACATTACATTACCGTCACGTTGTCACCCTCTTTTATATACCAGACTACCCTATATCTAGTAAATGCTAGAGCATTCACCAAAGTACAGGATAGTTCTAGAAAGTAGAGGGCGTGAGAATAGTCACGTGATCTCGATGACGCAACAATACCATATAAAAAAACGCTTGTCTCAATAAAAACCTACATTATAGATGGTGCTGAAATTGTTCAAATAATGTTCTACATTTTTCAATAGACAACAGAGAAGATTAGTGTAATTCACAATTAAAATACATGTCCATGAATAACTATGATTTATCTTAAGATATATTCTATACTAGTTATGGAAGAGTGAAATCAGGAAGATATTTCAGCTATGAACCCCCACCATCCATATCTCAGGGTCAGAATCATTAAGTTAATTGTAAATCATACAATTCTGTACACATTTTTCTTATGAAACATACTAGATAACATAACACATAAAAACAACAGAGGGGTAAATCTCAAGCAATCAGTAGAAGATCAAAATGAAAATAAATCATAACACATTAAGAACAAATTACAGTAAAAATTTGAAAATAAACAAAAATCAAAAAAAAAAATATATATATATAGCTAAGAAGTTATGATGCAGATTACTATAAACAAAACTGAATATAAATTTATACATATTAGAAATGTAGAATGAAGAATTCTATAAATTTACAATACTGTAGGTTTGGCTGCAGATACGATCTTGTAAGGTCTTCCCTCATTGATGTTATGATCTTCTTAGGAACCTTCTCATGGGATCTGACCCTTGCATTACCATTATATATGTCCACTGTGATAGGAGCATACGTTTCTTCAGAAGTTAATATGGCTGGCACTTCAATGTGTCATACTGTCACCCATAACATAAGGTAAAATGTCATGGCCAATCAAGCTATGATCTAACCTTTTCCCGATATAATTTAGGTTTGCATGAAACAGTGCAAACAAAAATAACCTCAGCCAGACCCCTGACTGTGTCAGCCCCTGGCAACAGTCACTAATCAGCAAGTCTTACATACACAAGTTTTCCACAGCTTATGGTTCTCGTACAAACAATAGGGAAGAAGAGTGAAACTTTAAGAAGACATTGCCCACTTCCACTGGTACTTGACCCTAGGTCAGCTACTTTACAAGTCTAATCTTTAAGGTTACATAACCTCCCTCTTTACAATTCCAACCTGTTTTATAATACAAAGTAAACATAATCTGAATAAATAGATGAACACATGTGACTTCACAAATGCAGTATTAATTTTTTGTAGTATACACAAAAATTATGACTCTACAAATACACAGGGTTGAGTATGTTATATTGATAGTGAATATACAAACCAAAAAAGTTGTGGTGGCATGTCATGTATCAGAATTACATTTTAGGATTGGCATTTTTTAATTTTAGAGCAGTGTGATGTCACTAAAATCTTATCAATTTTGAAAAGGGTATGTAACAGTCCTTTCTAGCAAAGCATTCATTAGCTCAGATAATGTGTTCAGATCAGGGATTTAGAATATCCAAAATAGGGTTATCCTTTGTACTTATTGGAACTGTACAACAAATGAATATGTAACAACTTAGGAAACACAATGACCATCAAATGTACTGCAGCTGTGGTATGAAAAATACGGTATCTTGTAGCAGGTGAGATTTACATGATATTGGGTATTGGGAAACCATTGTCCTTATATAATTGAGGGATTGTGAATTGATTGCAGAGAGGAGTGGTGTATTTTGGACATGACAATCTCATGACAGAGAACTTTGCAATGGAAACTATGCTGCAAGGCTATTTTCAAGATACATGGTCAGCAAATAGACCATGATAACGCATGAAACATGGACTGTAATGATATGGTAGGAGACAAAATATCTGGGTTTGCATCACAATTTGCAAATCAAAACAACCCCAGTTGCAAATCACTTTCCTCTTTGCAAATCATTCCTTTCTCTTTTATGTTAATTGTCTTCGAGACCTCCAACAACACAATGAAAGTGCCATAACATTTCAGTTTGATACACCAAAGACTAATGTTATTTTCTCAGAAATTCATGCCCAAGGGCACATATAGTATTTTCACACTATGTCATGCACATATTACATACACTTCATAGTAGTCTGTACATGATATTTGGAATGGGCTCGTCAGACAATGTCCCATAACTGTTGTTGTCTCTCTTCTTGTTTATTTTCTCGTTCTTCTTGTTTCTTTTGTTGTTCTTGTATTGCTGCCATCAAATCTGCTAAGCTGTAGTTTGATTTACCCCTTCTTGTTTCCTTTTTTTTTCCGTCCCACTCTCTGACACCAATTGTTATGCCTCTGTGTTTGTTTGTTAATTTTCCGTAAAAATTCTTTCCGAAGAAACTTTAGCGATACAAGTCATTTCTTAAATAAAACTAGTTTATTCTTTCGCAATACAACTTTGCAATACACTTAATTTCCACAGTCACGCTATAATTCACAACGAAC